ACCAAGCACTGCAGTGATCTGGGGCAGACAGAGAAGAGGCGGGGATTCAAACCCAAACCGTACCCTGGAGCTGCCCATCAACGCAGGGCCAGACTGGTGGCGGGTGCTGGGAATTAGTGGGCACTGGAGCTCAAGGACCGGTTCCCAGATGTAGATTCTGTTCTTACATCTATCATAGAACTCTTTTTTAAGGTCATACAGCCGTTGATGTTCGTGATGCTTATTTCTCACAATCATATCTTAAATCGCTTCCAGATTTAAAAAGCTGACAAGCAGAGGTGTTCACCTTAGAGCATATTCTGCCCTTCCCAGCAGGAAGGCGCCTTCAGTTCTTCGCAGTCCTATTTAGCCTAATGAAGAATCAAACTTCTGCAGTTATTTGTCTGCATCTTCTGCATTCCTTTTGACCACCCAGCTTACTCCAGTTTCCTTAAAATCCCTGAGCTCTTTGAAGAAGACGCGGTGGCGGCTGCGGCGGACCTGCGTTCCGCCGGCTCCTGCGCCCGACTCAGCGCTGTTCATTCACTCTTGCCGAGGAACAGGTGCTGGGTCCAGAAGACGCCGCAGCCATGGCTTTGAAAGATACTTGAAAGACACCCGTGGAGCCGGGAAACCCCAGCCAGATCAACCCTGATGCTGCATCCTTTCTCACCTAGCACATTGGCTGGAAATTTAAGTAATAGCCATTTTTTTATGACCACTTGTTCTTGAACTTGAAATTGAGCTCTCTGCACCAGTTGTTCCTTTGTGGTCTTTCCAAGGAGGCCCCACCAGTTCTGTAGCAAACAAGTTCTGAAGTGGCCTTTCCAGAAACCCTCAATGTGTCTGGTCTGTATGTACTATTTAATCCTCATTATACTGGTGCTTAAAATTACAAAATATTAGAGTTAGCCAATAAACTAGTTCACTTTTTTGAGCATGCTCATGTTATACGAAAGACACTGAGGTCATGTGAGGTTAAGTTGGCTGCCCAAGGTTAAATTCCATGATTTTCTCAGGCAGATGGGAGGTGTGGGTCAAAGAGAAATAGATTATTTTACATTAGTTTGATCCCAATAGACGCACCCTGGGTCTGCATTTCACAGTAGCTTCATTTGGGAACACCGAATTAGAATTACTCTGACCAGCCGCCATGTGAAGTCTTTGGAGAAGGTGTGCGCTGACTTGATAAGAGGTGCAAAGGAAAAGAACCTCAGAGTGAAAGGACCGGTTCAGATGCCTCCCAAGACTCTGAGAATCCCTACAAGGAAAACACCTTGTGGTGAAGGTCCTAAAGCTTGGGATCATTTTCAGATGAGGATCCCCAAGCCACTCATTGACCTGCACGGTCCTTCTGAGATGGTCAAGCAGATTACTTCCATCAGTACTCAGCCAGGAGTCAAGGTTGGAGTCACCAATGCAGATGCTTAAATCAACCTTTTTACTAAATTGCTTATCAGTTTAAAAAAAATAAAAATTCCTGACTATGTGGAGTTAAAAAATCTAAGCAGACTTCTTACCACCATGGTAGGCAAAAAACCAACTGGTCTGCCACACAGAGCTGTGCAAAAAATGTCCTTTAATCATGCCCTTTGCTTCCAGTTTCTTCGGGCCAGTACTTCAGTCAACTCCTCAGTCACCCTGCTTATATCTCCCAGTCCCTGTTAATAACAGAGTCGAAGTGATGTTGCAGCTGGATCCGTTTTAGAATCTTTGAGAGATCGGCCCAAACACGGCGAACTTCCTTTGAGCCAGTAAACCTGTGATACACCCGTAGAAGTAGCAAAATTACTTCCACAGACTGTTCAGTGTGTAAAACCACATCAGTCAGACCTGCAAAACACATCTTATTTACTAGTCAGTCCCTTTAGAGGTCTCCATTTAGGTACTTTGCTCCGTTTGCATGTGGTACAGCACCTGTCAAATTCTGAGCATTTCACCTCTGGTGTCTCCTATTTCTTCCCCAGTTTCTCCATCACCACCTCACCATGTTTCTTGGTGGAACTTGGTATCTTGCTCTCCATTCATGAACGGATCTCTTAGTTTTTACCAGGTGGCAGCAAAGTATGCCTACTCATGGATGATCCCTGACGAAGGACAGGGCATCGCTGCCAGACAGAAAACCAGCCCGTGGGCTCGGCCTAAAGAAACACTTGGGAAAAGACATAAACAAGGAGAGAACAATCAGATAAAAATAACAGGATTCAGACTTATTTTCTTAGCCCTTTCCAGCCTACTCTCTTCTTTCTCAGCTGAGGTCCTTGGGGGCAGAATCACGCCGTGGCTGTCTTGGAGGCTACAGAACCTACCAATGAGCCTAACAAATAATATCTGGTAATTTCTCGGCCATGAAAAGAGTGAATCCTTAGTAGGAGGATGCACTCTCCCTGTTTCTGCTCAGGCCTGTGCTGGTGGCACGTGGGTCGACAGCCATGCAACAGCCTAGAGGAGACCCAGCTGGATACACCTTTGTTTTAAAATAATTACTTCTTACAAATTTTCTCAAGAAAAATAATCATTGCTCCCCTTGATACTTTTTTTTTTCCTCTATCCAGTTCTTACTGAGCCCCTGAGACGTGTTAGGCTCCGCTCCGTGTCACAGCAATACAGCAGCGAACAAAACAGGGCCCCTTATCTTGGGCCGGTCACTGCTAAATGCCTTGGGCTTTTTTGACATTATCTCATTTAATAATTAAAACCACTGTGAAATGGGCGTTTTCCTCGTCTGAAAATAAAGTTTTAGAGATTCGAAGCTTAATTAAATTTCCTAGGATCCACAACTAAAAAGTGGAAAACAGAAGTCAAACCCAGGATTAACTGACTCTAAAGTTAATGCTCTTCATTCAGAGGCTGTACTGCCTCTAGACCCTGAAGAAATGGAAATTACATAAATCAGAACCTAAACTACAGAATAAGTCCCATAAATACTAAGTTTATCTTGAAGAATTTTTAAGAACCTAGCTCTACAGACCTGGGTGCATAGCAACTTATTTCTCCCAAAATCGAATCTACCACAAACTGTCTTACCGGGAACAATTTGATAAAATGCAGTATAAAACTTTTCAAGAAGCATCCTAAATGTGCATTGTTCACACTCATTTTCATGTGTCCACCATCTATGCAGCCATTAACAGCAAATATATCTATATCAGTGTTCTGAGGACAGTTCTACTTTATAAATGAAATATAGCAGGTCAGTTTTGAACCTAGATTAATAAGTAATCCTTTTGTTCTTTAAACAAGTATTTTAAAAAATGCACTGAGAGCCAGCTCTGTACCAGGCATTTCAGTAGGATGTAAAAATAAGGCAGAAAGAATCCTGCCCTCCTAGAGCTTATATATGGGAATTGGGAAAACAAAAAATGAATTTGAAAGATAATTTCTAATGATGATGAGGACTCTAATTTCTATGAGGAAACTGTGAAGGATTGGTGAGTGTGCTAAGCCTGGAAAGGGAGAAGGCCTCGCTGCAGAGATGCTGCTCGAGCTAAATTCTGCATGGTGAGGAGTCAGCCATGTAAAGAGAAAAGAGAAAAAAAGAAAATGCAATGGCCAAAGGGAGGAACAAACTTCATTTTTTTTAAAATAACAGAGTTAAAAGTTTTTCTGTCTGCAGCAGAGTGACCTGGGTGGGAGGCAAGAGATAAAAAGAGATAGGTAGGGCCCAGATCACACAGGGCCTTAACATGCAGTGTCCAAAGACATATTTAAGAATTGAGGGGGACATTTTTAATCGTTACACCAGCACCATAGGTGTAAACCCAGAATTTCCCAGAGACACCAGGATTTATAGTTACCCTACTTACATGCCAGGGTTAAGAGTCTGAGTTTTATTCCAGTATAGTTGTTTTCAGCTGGAGAGTGAAATAATTTGATTTGCATTTCATAAGTGATCATTGGCTGCTTCTGAGATTGGAGATCAGTTTTAGAGACTAATGAAGCAATCCTGGCAAGAAGTGATAGTGGCTTGAATGGTAGCAATAGAGCTGAAAAGAAAGCCACTGATTTGGGATAGATTTTGTAGGTAGTTAGTGTAGACAAGACATGGGCTGGATGTGTAGGGGGAGGGAAGGAGAAAACAAAATGTGACTCCTCACGATTTTGGCTCCAGCATCTGGATGAATTTTGATGCCATTAGCTGATTTGGGAAAAATTTTTACCAAAGAATTGGTCTGGGGACATGATCAGGAATGCGCGGAATCAGCAGTCTGGTTTTGAGCGTACAGAGTTTGAGACTCCTGTTAGAGATACAAATGGAGCCACCTAGGTGTCCATCAGCAGAGGAATGGATAAAGAAGAGGCGGCACATCTACACAATGGGATATTATTCAGCCATACGAAGAAAACAAATCCTACCATTTGCAACAACATGGATGGAGCTGGAGGGTATTATGATCAGTGAAATAAGCCAGACGGAGAAAGACAAGCACCAAATGATTTCACTCATCTGTGGAGTATAACAGCAAAGCAAAATCTAAAGGAACAAAACAGCAGCAGACTCACAGAACCCAAGAATGGACTAACAGTTACCAAAGGGAAAGGGACTGGGGAGGAGGATGGGTAGGAAGGGAGGGAAAAGGTGGAATAAGGGGCATTACGATTAGCACACATAATGTGGTGGGGCGCACAGGGAAGGCAGTATAGCATAGAGAAGACAAGTAGTGATTCTATAGCATCTTACTACGCTGATGGACAGAGACTATAATGGGGTATGTGGTGGGACATGATAATAGGGGGAGTCTAGTAACCATAATGTTGCTCATGTAACTGTACATTAATGATACCAAAATTAAGAAAAAAAAAGAAATACAAATGGTTATGTCGAATGAGCAGCTGGGCTATGCTCTCCTTTCTTACTCTGTTTAGAGCTGCTTACTTGTAATGTTATCTGTATTCTTAAAACAGTTTAAAGTGACATTCAAACAATCTATTGAAGTGATTTTTCACTCAACAGCTTCAATTATATTTTGTCTTCACTATCTGATGTTTAACATTGCTAACACTACCGATTGCCTTTCTAGGAAAGTATAGACCTCGGTGAAATCATGTTTTCCCTGTGTTATTTGCCAACTGCTGGACGCATGACATTGACAGTCATCAAGTGCAGAAATCTGAAGGCCATGGACATCACTGGCTCATCAGGTATGGACGCAACTGGCTAGTGGGGGGGAGGATACCTTCCCAGATAAAATATTCCATGGATCCAAAATTATATACGGCTATTAAATTATTGTTGAGTTCATTTGTCTGCAGTGGGAAAAAAAGAAAGTAGAAAAAGAGCTCCAAATCACCTCTTTGATTATGTTATCAGTATGAAAATTTTTTAAGATGTTATCAAATAGATTGACTCTGAACTTGGGATTTTATTTTTAATCTCTTTCTCTACTGATTTAGTTCTCTCTCAAAGATATGTAATTTACCATTTTAATTCACTACTTCCAGCTGGTCAGTTGCTTATAAAGGAAGATTCTTGGACTTCAAGCTACTCACTTAGAACTTGCATTTTTCTGTGAGTAAAAGCCATATGAGGACCTCTTTAGGCTGAATTTATCTCCCTCACCTGATGTGCAAACAAGTTTCCAAGACCCTATTTTCATTTGCATTCTTAATACCCTTCTGAATAAAAGTTTGGGAAAAACAGAAGTCAAACCCAGGATTAACTGACTCTAAAGTTAATGCTCTTCATTCAGAGGCTGTACTGCCTCTAGACCCTGAAGAAATGGAAATTACATAAATCAGAACCTAAACTACAGAATAAGTCCCATAAATACTAAGTTTATCTTGAAGAATTTTTAAGAACCTAGCTCTACAGACCTGGGTGCATAGCAACTTATTTCTCCCAAAATCGAATCTACCACAAACTGTCTTACTGGGAACAATTTGATAAAATGCAGTATAAAACTTTTCAAGAAGCATCCTAAATGTGCATTGTTCACACTCATTTTCATGTGTCCACCATCTATGCAGCCATTAACAGCAAATATATCTATATCAGTGTTCTGAGGACAGTTCTACTTTATAAATGAAATATAGCAGGTCAGTTTTGAACCTAGATTAATAAGTAATCCTTTTGTTCCTTAAACAAGTATTTTAAAAAATGCACTGAGAGCCAGCTCTGTACCAGGCATTTCAGTAGGATGTAAAAATAAGGCAGAAAGAATCCTGCCCTCCTAGAGCTTATATATGGGAATTGGGAAAACAAAAAATGAATTTGAAAGATAATTTCTAATGATGATGAGGACTCTAATTTCTATGAGGAAACTGTGAAGGATTGGTGAGTGTGCTAAGCCTGGAAAGGGAGAAGGCCTCGCTGCAGAGATGCTGCTCGAGCTAAATTCTGCATGGTGAGGAGTCAGCCATGTAAAGAGAAAAGAGAAAAAAAGAAAATGCAATGGCCAAAGGGAGGAACAAACTTCATTTTTTTTAAAATAACAGAGTTAAAAGTTTTTCTGTCTGCATCAGAGTGACCTGGGTGGGAGGCAAGAGATAAAAAGAGATAGGTAGGGCCCAGATCACACAGGGCCTTAACATGCAGTGTCCAAAGACATATTTAAGAATTGAGGGGGACATTTTTAATCGTTACACCAGCACCATAGGTGTAAACCCAGAATTTCCCAGAGACACCAGGATTTATAGTTACCCTACTTACATGCCAGGGTTAAGAGTCTGAGTTTTATTCCAGTATAGTTGTTTTCAGCTGGAGAGTGAAATAATTTGATTTGCATTTCATAAGTGATCATTGGCTGCTTCTGAGATTGGAGATCAGTTTTAGAGACTAATGAAGCAATCCTGGCAAGAAGTGATAGTGGCTTGAATGGTAGCAATAGAGCTGAAAAGAAAGCCACTGATTTGGGATAGATTTTGTAGGTAGTTAGTGTAGACAAGACATGGGCTGGATGTGTAGGGGGAGGGAAGGAGAAAACAAAATGTGACTCCTCACGATTTTGGCTCCAGCATCTGGATGAATTTTGATGCCATTAGCTGATTTGGGAAAAATTTTTACCAAAGAATTGGTCTGGGGACATGATCAGGAATGCGCGGAATCAGCAGTCTGGTTTTGAGCGTACAGAGTTTGAGACTCCTGTTAGAGATACAAATGGAGCCACCTAGGTGTCCATCAGCAGAGGAATGGATAAAGAAGAGGCGGCACATCTACACAATGGGATATTATTCAGCCATACGAAGAAAACAAATCCTACCATTTGCAACAACATGGATGGAGCTGGAGGGTATTATGATCAGTGAAATAAGCCAGACGGAGAAAGACAAGCACCAAATGATTTCACTCATCTGTGGAGTATAACAGCAAAGCAAAATCTAAAGGAACAAAACAGCAGCAGACTCACAGAACCCAAGAATGGACTAACAGTTACCAAAGGGAA